TATTAGATTGCCATTTCTGGCACGAACCATTATCATTCCTCCACAGACTATATTAAGCCTAGAGTACCTTCGGAGTACAAAAGATTTAGCTGGAGATCTATTTACATGTTAGTGATTTGTCTACTCAGTGTTAATTGCATCCACTCACCTCAATGATGGCAGGTCCAGCAGCGACGGTGTCATCAGAGACGACATCCTTGCAGCCAGTAAGGACAACATAAGTCTGTCCAGCAAAGCCCTCAGGAATCTCAACAGAGAAACCACCATCAACAGCCTTGGCCTCAACAAAAGTAGGGCCAGTGACAGCGATGAAAGCAGCATAAACACTCTGCCCCTTGGCACCCTCAAGGGTATAACCAGGAGTCTGGAGCGTAACAGTGCTACCAGTCTTGATCTCACTGCCCGAAGCAGCAGCAGCCAAAGCAGGGAAAGCCTTGACGGGAAGAGCAGGGTTCTCCTTGGGGCATCCTGTGATGAAGCCCGAGGCAAGGGAATACACCTCGTTGTAGCTCAGGGGAGCATCGAAGGGCTGGGCGAAGGGGACTTGCTTGAGAGCACCGCGAATGTAGGATGAGTGACGCGCCTCGACGGTGAGGATGGAGCCGGCGGCGGTGAGGTAGGTCTTGCTCATGATGTCGGCTGCGGCGCCGAGGTAAGCTGAGACGCCGACGCCTTCGAGGACGGAGGCGGTTGCGAGGAAGGTCTTGACGTCTGTGACGCCGAAGGAGTATGTGCACTCCTCAACGGGTGTGACACCGGCAGCTATAAACATTAGTCCAACTTATCATTGCATGTACGGTATCGAGACATACCCTTGAGAGCCTTGGTGAGAAAGTCAACATGAGCAGTCTCATCAGAAGAGACCTTCTTGATGTTGTTGTAAAAGGTAGAGTCATAACCGGCATCCGCAAAGTCCTTCTCAGTAAAGTTGGAAAGACCTTGGCGATAGAAGTTATCCTCGAGATGCTCAAGAGTAAGGGCGTAGTTGAGGATGACTCCGTCGTTGAGGCCAGAGGCACGCTTCTCGATGACAGGAGCAGCGGAGGCAAGGCCAGCGGCCAATAGGGGAAGGGCAGTAGAGAAGTACATGATGACTAAAGACTTGTATGGTTTGATAGAAAGAAGGAGATTGCTGGTATTCTGAGGGAGTGAATTGGATGCACCAGGTAGTAGATATGTGATTGTTTTATCACCAGTCCAAGTACATATACTTACCCAACAACTACTAGCAACACCATTAGGCCCTCATGATGCCTCGACTTCAATTGTGAATAATATCCCCGCCCTCGATCCCAAGCCTTAATCTCCCTAGACTCACAACATGACGATTCGGCATCTCCCCATTCCGCTCCGATCTTCCCGCCGTCCAATCTCCCCCAAAACCCAACTGAAGCTAACAACAGCCGAATTCCCAAAAGTATCGCACCGCCCAAATCTCAGCCCTAAGAAACATCCATCTCAAACAACACAATTGCCGAATCAAGACGTCATGGTTCCAAACAGATTACCAGATCGGGCACGTTTCGATGATCTCCAGGGACTCAGGCTCGGCAACTCTTGAAGCCGTGGTTGATAGTTCAAAACTAGTGCTGCTCATCATTCGTGCGCTGTTTTCTAATTGTGGGACGTTTGGATCTCGGATGGCGCTTGTTCCGTGAGCTAGAGAGGATTGAGTTATAGTCTGGGTTTTGGTGAGACATGGCTCGGAATATTCACCATCCGAACAACATCGCGTTTGTTTTAGTTCAAGAATTTTTGTAGTTATGTTGGTAGTGTAGATGGTGTTGCGCTTGGGTAGTATGTCTTAGGCTGAGGTTTGAGGAAATTTGGTGTTGATCAGGGGAATTGGTAATCTCTCCGAGCAGCCGAAAGTCTTCGGGATGAGTTTGGTCCGTGCCATTGATAGTCATTGTTGGTAGAGACGGCATTAATCAACAAATTTTGGAGAGCAAAGAAATTCCTGTTTTTATTAATTGCATTTGTGTTTTATTTGCTTGGATTCCCCCGCCAAGTCGTTTGTTGTCAAATTGTCTAAGCCTACCATTCACTCTTTGACTTTCACTCATTCACAACGCAACCATGAAGTTTACTCTCATCGCTGCTCTCGCAGGTAAATATCAATCTAAGCACTCATACATTCAATAGCTAACAGCCATGCAGTCCTCTCAGGAGTCCACGCTGCCGAGTCTGCATCTACAACAATCACCTGCAGCTCTTGTCCCTCGGCCGTAACGACCCCTGATATTGTCACACGATCCGCTCTCCCTACTACATCCTGCACTGAGAAACCTTTGACGGTTGTGTCAATGACCAAGGGAGGCAGCGGAGCTGCTGCACCTACTGGTTCGGGCGCCGCTTCTACCCCTACAGCTCAGGTCCCCGTGTCTGGAGCTGGTATTAAGAAGGGCAGCGTTGGTGGAATGGCTGCGGCGGCTGTAATGGTGGCTGTTTATGTGCTTTAGTGTTTTGTGTAGTGGCCAATGGCGGGTTATACCAATGGAGGGCGAAGTTAATATTCTATGGGTACTAGTTTTATATAGTGGTGTATGAGCAGCATGCTGCACATGTAATACCGAGTCTTGTTTATGAAGGAAGACTATTTCACTTTTGCGCTGCCTCACAATTGATATTTTGGATTAAGGCACAGACTAATCTATTATGCTGTTTTACGTGCTATCTAGTTGGGAATCACAGGAAGAGTGATATAGTTTTGTTGACGAGGACCAAAGTGGATATGGTTCGAACCTTGGAAGACCTCAGGTGATCTAAAAGAAGTTAGCAATAAGCACCACAGTCTGAAATATTTATGCTTACCTGTCGACCGGATCGTTGTGCAAGAAAATACCTGACCCCTGAGTATCCCCCGACGACACCTCAAACACCAACTTACCCCCCTTATCAACAATAACATTCGTAGGCCAGACCTCAATATCAACGCCATAAACTTCACCCTGTATCACAGGCTGAACATCCTTGCTGGTGTAGTTGCGATGAGGAAGCCACTCGCGATGTTTAGGGTGTTCTGAATCAACCTTGCGCAGCGACACGCGAAGCCAGCCCTTCGTCAGGGGGACGGGATCACCTGCCGTGCCAGTGTAGAAGACTTCTTCCCCTGAGGGATCGAAGTGGCGAAGTGTGACAAATAGATCAATGTCACTGGGTGTAGGGCCGGAGGGGTCAGGGGAGACTGAGACATTGAGATGAGCGACAACGTGGCCCGTGATCTCTGTCTCAGCCCCAAAAGCAGGAGTTGAAAACTGAACCACCTCAGGCTTCTCCAGCGTTCCAAGAGCCTTGTAGGTAATTTTCTTGCGCTCTGTCTTGGGCTCATCCCAGCTTAGACCTTGCTCAGGCGTGAGGAAGAGTTTCTTGTACTGGGTTCGCGCAATAGGCCACTCGTTCTCTTCCCTTCTAGGATAGGCCTTTTCCTTCTCGGCGTCGTTGAAGCCAACGTTGCCCTTTCGAAGAACGAGACTTACGGGAGCGACCTTGCCTTCTTCAGACCAGCCCACTCGGTCCTCGCCTTTGAGGAAAGCATCGAGGAAACTTCGTTGAATTTCAACTTCTTCCTCATAGTAGAAGGGAAGATCGTGACGACCTGTGATGAGGCGGAGATACTTGAACTTTGACCCAGCATGGATGTATCCCTCGATGTTTCCGCGGAGATGGAGAAGAATACCGCCCCAGTTACCAACTGATAGAAGAGGGACTTCGATATCGCCCATGTCGTACTCCTTGGAAGCGTAGTAGGCCTCATCTCGGAAGCGGTTGACTTGATTATCGATAGTCTGATCCTGTCTGTTGGCCTCAAGCTCTTCTTCGGGTAGATCACCCTCAATAGTATCAGGACCCCAATTCCTAGCATTTCTCCCAGGTCGACCGTACTGATTCGTAATGACCTGACGGTTCCACCAAAACTTGATAAAAGCGTTTGAAAGAATTCCACCATGTCTGCAACGATCGCGATAATAATCTGACATACCCTCCCAGGGCACAATAGCACTCAGACCCTTTGGTTTACGGGCAGCGACTCGCCATTGACTTCCGGCATAGTAACTGATACCGAGAAGACCGACTTTGCCAGATGACCAAGGCTGCTCGGCGGCCCACTCGATGACATCGAAGAAGGCTTCGCTGGTGCCTCGTGACATGGTATCAAGCTTGCCGGTTGATTGGCCGAGACCTCGCTCGTCAGCGCGGACGATGGCATAGCCGTGCTTGGTCCAGAAGCCAGGATCTGGAGTTTCCCATGCTGAATGCTGAGATTTGTGCTGAGGATTCACTTCACTGAAGGACTTGGGATGGAAGCTACAATAATATTAGTTGTTATTTTGTGAGTAGAAGAATTGAACTCACTCTTGATACCAAATGTCCTTTCCATAAGGGCCATATGTGACGAGAACAGGAACCTTGTCAACACCCTTGGGCCGATAGACATTGAGTCTCACCAGACCGTCGCCCGCCTTCAGAGGAACAGTAGCATTCTGTTCAAAAATGTAAGGAAACGATTCCTCATCCACAGTATGGATATCCTCCTTGATAGGGTTCGGCATTGTAATAATCGATATAGTAGTAGAACTGAATTATGCTAAGACCAAATCCAAAAAAGCCCTTGTAAAATATCGTATGACACGCCCTATTTCACTTCCACCCCGTGGATTACTCCCCCTCAATTGCACCATATTTTAATTCCTCGCCGAATTGTCCCTTCGGTTGAGACCCCAACTTTTGTGGGTGGAGGGTTCCGATACGGGGGACGTTCGGTTACGTGGGGCCGAGACCCGAAACGCGCAAGACCCCAGAATGCAAAAGTGAGATCGGGGACTTGGAGGAGATGGGACGGGGAAAGCGGGAGAATCTGGGGAAGGTTGATCATGAGACGGTTTGGAGAGTCTGGGGTTTATTAGGTTCAGAGCTGCACGAAATCGTTACATCGTTTGGTCGTATACATCATCGAGTACGCTCTGTTGATTTGTTGTACTGTATTATTCACTGCAATCATGACTCAAGATACAGAAACAAGACCTTTAAACATTCTTATTGTTGGAGCAGGTAATTATATCAATCTTGGAGGATTTATCGTGAGGAAATGCTGACATTTCAGGCATTGGTGGTTTAACCGCTGCGCTTGGTCTCCGCCAACAAGGGCATAAAGTAACAGTAAGTAAACTTTATCGTGACGATACCCACTTTGACTCATACTCTGTATCTCAGCTATTCGAGAGATCGCAATTGGCGAGAGAAGTCGGAGCTGCTATTCACGTGGCTCCCAACAGTCATGGACTTTTGAAGCGATTTGGTGTTTATCCTGAGACATTTGGCGCAAATCGTGTCGAGGGTGTAGGTCGCGCAATCACAATGATCTAAATCACAGCTAAAGATTAGCAGGTCACTGAGTATACACATGGTGGGCACCTCAAGTTTGATAACCACCTCAAAGGACCACTTTCAGTCTGGGAGCACGTATGTCGCACGGTGTCATTCCTGTAGAAATCGCTAACATGTCGTAGCCGTGGGTTCTTGCGCATCGCGTCAGTCTCCATGAAAACCTAAAGAACCAAGCAACCTCGAGCGAAGGCCCTGGAACACCAGCTGTTCTCAAGACCTCTAGCCCAGTAGTCGGTGTCGATCCGTCAACGGCGACAGTCAAGTTCGAGGATGGCACTTCAGTATCTGGAGACTTGGTTCTTGGAGCTGACGGTGTCAGCGTAAGAAGCCCAATTCCCATCTGATGATCTTGAAGCTGATAAAAAATAGTCGATAACGCGGTCCATTGTCACTGGCACAGATATCAAGCCTTATGGCTCTGGAAAGAGCGCTTTCAGATTCATGATTCCCCATTCCAAATACCTCAATGACGAAACAACCAAGCCTTTCGCGGAGCGCACAGGAACCATGACAATGTGGGTAGGTGATGACAGAAGAATCATCATGTATCCTTGCTCCAATAACACTGTCATGAACTTTGTTGCCATACACCCGAGCAATATCACCTCTGGGGCAAACAAGGGATCTGGTAAGTCAGAGAAGCATGTAGAATACGAGTGTAAAGCTGACATACTTAGGCTGGGGACAGGGCGGCAGCAAGGAACTTCTTCTCGAGGTTTACAAGGACTTTGAGCCCAGAGTTCGCGCTATTCTCAACTTGGTTGATGCCAGCGATTTGAAGCTTTGGACTCTGTTGGACATGGACCGCATTCCAACATGGCATAAAGAGCGACTTGTCTTGCTTGGAGATGCGGCTCACCCATTCTTACCTCGTAAGTTTATCTCATTTGTTGAAGCGACATTACTGACCATGTCTCCCATTTAGATCAAGGACAGGGTGGTGGTATCGCCATTGAGGATGCAGCATCGCTAGTGGCCCTGCTTCCTTACGGTACAACAGCCGATGATATTCCCAGTCGCCTTTCTCTGTACGAGAAAATTAGAGACGAGAGAGCCCATATGGTGCAACTCTTCACCAGACAAGCAGGCGAGGATCTTGATGAGGAGACGCGAGCCAAGTTCAACAGTAAGTCAACTATATCCCCAGTCACGAATAGTCAAAGCTAACAATCATCCAGTTTACAAGTTCCTTAACTACAATTTCGGCCATGATGAGTGGCACAACACCAAGAAAGCTCTCAGAGATCATCTCTGGTCGCAAAACAAGAACCTGCACTGGAAGTCTCCAGTATCATTCGGCCCCATGCCCAGTCCTCGACAAGATTTCCATGGACAACGATATAACGGAAATGATTCTTCGTTCACCACTTGGTCTGTCCGTTTCAAGTCTTCAGCTACGTATCTCAAGACTCTCTTCCCCACAGACAAGTTCAGCTTCTACAAGCCTGGCACTGTCGCTGAAGCTACATACTCCTGCACTGAGTTGAAGGGCATGAAGTGGCTTGGTGGTGGCGGTTACAAGTTCTTTGGTCTTTGGATACACGGTGTTCAGTATGAGAAGAAGGATGGCAGCAAGATCTATGGATCGTTCCTAGCTGTTCTTTTGGAGAACCTGGCTGATCCTATCGTCACGGGCCGTGAGGAGTTGGGTATGCCTAAGCTCTTTTGCGATATTGATGTTGTGGAGAAGGGAGCCAACACTAGTATCCGCTGTAGTTGGCGAGGAGCAGAGTTCGTTGATATCACGCTCAAGGGTCTTGGAGAAGCTACCAACGGACATGCAAATGGTGCCAACGGCACAAACGGTACCAACGGCCATCCCCCAACTGTTGGTCCCCCAGGCGCCCCTCCTCTGCCAGAAGAACAGGGCCTTCTGATATACCGATATGTTCCTGCCGTGGGCCAGCCTGGTGTTGCTGATGCCGCATATCCTGTATTTATCGAGAATGGGTTGGAGACGACGAAGCGACAGGTTGAGAAGACGTTGGTTGGAAGTGGTGGTGATTTGGATCTTACCTCTGGTACCTGGGATACGTTGCCTACCTTGAACCATATCGCGACTGGGTTCTCTGAGATTCCTGTCTATGGCGTTGTTAAGAGTAAGGTTGAGTATGGAAGGGGTGTGGATGATATTTCTCATGCTCGAAGGGTTGAGTAGCGCGTTTGAGATTTGTACATATTTGATTAGCATTTTATAGCAAGGCATTTGATGTCTGGTATTGTGATAATATTTGTCGGTGATAAGAAGAATCGGGGGGTTAAAAACAGTGTTTGCACGAGATCCAGGTTCCATCTGTGTTTGCACCTCGCGAAACGGAAAGCCTTACCTCAACAACTTGATAGGAGGTCCAGATCACACATAAATACTGGTTATCGATGGTCCTGGCCGGCATACATTTGGATTGATACAAAAATGAGATACTTGAAATCAAATAATGTTCTCTATTCTTCTCATATATGTAATAAATCAAACTCAGTAAGGGCGAGCAGGAGTTAGCTGGCCAATGCATTCGCCAAATCCAACACCCGACTCGTCTCCACCAACAGATCCCGTTATCCTCACAACATCACCATCCTCAAGAAATCCCCTCTTCGAACCATCGCTCAGAGTCACAGGCTTACTACCACCCTCTGTGCTCTCAAGCATGCAGCCTCGACTCGTCTCATCAGAACCAGAAACAGTACCAGTAGCTAGCAAATCTCCCGTTCGAAGCGCACTACCTGAGCTAACAGAGTGCGCAACCATCTGTTGGGGTGTCCAGTACAGAGACTCAACTGGACAAACGCCAAGTGTTGTGGTGGCGTTGTTTGCCACGACGTCAACTTTCAAGGTGATGGAGAATGTTGAGGGGTTGGGATGCTGGAGGTATGAGGCTGAGATGGCTTTTTGCTCTTGAGCCTTGGTTCTGAAGGGTTCTAGAGCGTCGAGGGTGATGATCCAGGGAGATATGGAAGTTCCTAGACTCTTGCCGTTGAAAGGACCAAGAGGAAACATTTCAAAACCTTGAATATCACGGGCTAGATATGTTAGTCTCTACCTCTGACCAGTAGATTTGAGTACTTACCACTCCAATCATTAAGAATCACAAAACCAAAAATATGATCCTCAGCATCCTTAGCGTGAAGTCTCTCCCTCATACCCAACGGCTTTCCAACAACAGCAGCAAGCTCAACTTCATAATCAACCTTCTGAGATGGCGCATAGATGATAGGATCGTCGCCTTCAGTTGCAGCAGGGTTCTTAAACTGTCCATAAGGACGCTCAACATCCGTTCCTGAGACAACGATAGAGCCTGTTCGGCCTTGATATCCAACTGGGAACTTGAAGAAGCCGGGTGGTGGCGTTCCGTTGTTGACTACTATACGACCTGCGTTTATGACGTGGTCAAGAGAGCAGGAGAAGTCTGTTTGAAAATTAGCTTTGATTTAAAGGGGCTGAGGGGTTATTCATACCTGCAAAGTCTTTGATTTCTACTGGTAAGTACATTGTCACATCATTGATGTCTTCTTTGCTGCCTGAAGGAAACTCATCGAGGCCATTTTGTTGATAGGCTTGTTGGATCTGTTTTCGGACTTGTTGATGCACAGTCTTGGGGAGAGCAGCGAAAGAGTTTAGAGCCTGTTCTTTAAATACACCTTGAGAAAGGCCATCAACATCCTTGAATAATTGTCCGACAAGATCATTCAGGAATATCACGGTATTTCCAAGTCTGGTCACAGCTTGAGGAGTCTTGTGAGACTGAGAGGAAGCTATTCCGAAAGGAATGTTCTTCTCGGTGAAGTGTTGAGCATAGTCAGGAGATGCCATATTGTTTGTTTTTCTTGATTAGTTGATAATCACAAATGAATTCAAAACGTTGGAGTCGATATGGTAAGAGTGACAGTCCCTTCAATTAACTCTAGTCGCGTATTATCAATCACTGACCTATTCTATCCCGAGGACTTAATTCCGAACCCGCGAAAGGCTACCGGTTGACATGGGGGTCCTCCACATCCCGATGAGTAAATCGAGGGGAAGGGCCCCGGATATGTAAGAGAAATGGAGTCGTATATCCGGCACTGAGCATAAAATGATGAAGAGAAATAGAATACAACGCTTTCATTAGACTATTTCAGTAAAGAAATTACAGAGCCAATTATCCGCAGTCATCAGTATACACTAACTCTGTAAAACTCAAACCTTCACAATGGCTCTCAACGGCAAACTCAGACAAACTCAACGCATCATCACAACACACAACGATGAAGGCAAAGCCATAATCGACACATCAGTCTCCTCAGACGCACCCTTCTACGCCCTCCCCGACGGCGAAGCCCACTTCGCACTAGGCTACGCCACAAAAGAATTCCCAGCCAAGCTCACCAACAACGCCGACGTAGAATCCTACCAGAACTTCCTGACCAACCAGCCAGGCCTGAGCATCTCAACGGGCACTATCCTGCGCTATGTCGACATGTGTCCTGGGCATACTTCACCTATGCACCGCACTGTGAGTCTCGACTACGGTGTTGTGCTGGAGGGCGAGGTGGAGTTGATTTTGGATTCGGGGGACAGGAAGGTTTTGAAGAGGGGTGATGTTTGTGTGCAGAGGGCGACGATGCATGCGTGGAGGAATACGAGTAAGACGGAGTGGGCGAGGATGTTGTATGTGCTTTTGCCGTCGACAAAGCCTGATGTTGGGGGGAAGGAGTTGGGTGAGGACTATGGAAATATGGAGGGTGTCAAGGCTTCTGAGTAGATAGAGAGATTTGATTTTAGCTGTTGAACGAGGAGAAATACAATGATCATATATGTCCTGTTTAAATGCCTGGCATCCTTCTATGAAGGACGATGTGATAGTAACTCAAGGCCATTGAAGATTGGGAATTTTTGCTGCTGGGTCTATCTCTACTACTTGAGTTGTCTTTGATAAGAGAAATTACAGGTTCAAGGCATATGAAACAGGTGAGACTGGAAAAAGCAATAATTTGATGAATCTGATATATGGTTGAATAACAAATGAAATTCAATAGTAAATAATAAACTCCGCCCCTCAAATAAATCAACTGCCGATCTAAAACTCTCCTCCAATTTGGTACTTCCAAACTTTATCCGTAAACCTGCCAATAGACGCCCTCCAATACTGAGCAGCGCCCTTCTCAGGTCAGCTCATACTCACAAAAACTCATCAAATCTACTTACGGCATTGACACTTAGACCTCGAAACATGGCAGTGACAAAGAACCTCTCAGCCGTGCTAGTATAGACGCGGACGCCATTGATATGCGCGGCATCCCGATTAAGCGGCCTGTACTCAGGCACACGGCGATGCGGCAGATCAAACTCTGGATGCTCTGCAGACGTCACAGGCGATGTTCGACAATCAGGCGATTCCTCGCGGCCTTGAGAGTGGTGAAGCTCATAATCGCGAAGGATGGAGCTGTGAAAATCGCCGTTTTGGGTGTGAGTTACTGTAGTGGTCGACATGTTGAAGGATGCGATGTTTGATGTGGAAGTTGAGTGAGATTCTGGAGTTGGAATCGATATCGAGACGTGTTGGTGAAATTGAAATTACTGACGTTGCATATTCTCATTTGCCGTCCAAACTCTACCGGGTGATTCGGGGCATTATCGTTTCATGAGACCTCCACTCGGGATGTGGAGGACTACTACCCCGAGACGCCCTCACCCGAACCGACGGGGAATCTGGGGTCCCCGGAGTCAACCCCAACTCGTCCCTCTACAGTAACTCTTGAGCTCAGTATCAAAATACGGGCCCTCAAGTATCTGGCCATATTGCTCGACATCTCCAATTTCCAACATCAGCTTAGTGTCCCACCATCCTCACCATTCACAATGTCCAAATCACTCGCAGCACTTAGATCAGCAGCCATCGACGGGCGTCTTCACAACCCGTTCTACCGAAAAGATCAACTCAGAAATCTTCATACTGCGCTGGCTGATAAAGCTGTGCAGATTCAAGATGCTATTGCGAAAGATACAAAGCATCAACCTGCTGAGGTAAAGGTTGAGTATTGGCTTGCTTTGCAGGCAATTGCTGAAGCGCATGAGTCGCTTGATCCGGTGAAGGAGACTGAGAATGAGTATGCCGTTACGAAGGGCCATGACGATGTTACTTGTCGGGAACCGATTGGTGTTGTTGTGATTGAGCCGGCGTATCATGCTTTCTTTTATGGATTGATTGCGGCGTTGGCACCGGCTCTTGCGGCTGGAAACTGTATTATTGTGCAGGTAAGTTCCTTATGAATATTTTGAGTATGAGACAGATGCTAATGAGTATAGGCTCAAAACTCACTACGTGAAACACCAAAGATTGTGCTAGATCTGATCGCCAAGTCTTTGGACAGGGATATCTTCACAGTCTCAAACCAAGAAGTCACCGCACAAGACATCAGCCTTCCTCACATCCGCGTCTCCCAAAACGGCTCAGACGGCCCCATTCTTAAAGACCATCTCGTCTCAGACCCCGAAGCACCAGTAGTAGCATTCGTGGAACGCGACGCAGACATCCAAGCCGCCGCCAAAGCGCTTGTATCAGCACGCTTCAGCCTCCAAGGAAAAGCTCCCTACGCCCCTGACGTAGTCCTCGTCAATGAATGGGTCAAGAAGGATTTACTACGCGCTCTTGTGCAGCAGAGTACTGAGTTTCTGGCTAATTCGCCGAATAAGACTAAAGCGCCTAAATCTGCGCTCTCGAAGGAGGTTGAGAAGGATGATTCTGTGCATGTTGTGCTTTCTGGGTCGAATGGAGTGATTTTGGATGTTGAGAGCAGGGAATCGAATTTGCTGCAGCAAAAGGTTGATGAGACGACACTTATTGTGCATGCTGTTACGAGTATGGACGATGCTATCGATACATCAAGAGAGTAAGTACAAGAACCCTAATCGGTTGAATATTTCTGACTTTTCTAGTATTGGATCTCTGGCCGCTGCTTATATCTTCACCAACCCCGCTATGGCCAAGTATCTATGTCAATTCGTGGATACGGCCGTCAGCTTCGTAAACCACATCCCCACCAAGCTCCTTTGTAAGTCCCAGGCCTCCTCCACGAAAACCAAAACTAAACAGGATAGACTCTCCAACCGCACCATCGGGCATCCCTCCCCAGTCTGGAACAAACGACATCTACCACCAAGATCTCTTCTCCCGCCTAAAACCCAAGTATCTCACCAAATCTGCCACTGACAACAAGCTCGACAAGATTGTCAACACAACTTCTACCAGAGAGTTGAGTGCGCTGGATCAAGAGGCTACGAAGAAGTTACCTGAGATGAAGCGGAAACTCAAGGAGTCGCAGCTTGGCTTCTTTGAGCAAGGTATTGTGACGAGTTTGGTGTTTATTTTGACGACTGCTGTGACGGGGACGAGTATTCTTGGATATTATGGGTATAGGTACTTGAGATCATGAGCGGCTTGACTTCGTAGTGGCGGAATTCACTTTATATAGTGTAGGGACTCCATAGCGTTGAAGATTAATTTTCTGGCTAAACCTTCATATATGCTGATTAGAATATCTACATCCCAGAACCAGAGTCTCAAATTTGAAATAGTAGTTGATTTGCGAACTCGCGAAATCCTCAAACGATACTGAAAACCTGCCTCTTCCCAAGCCCATTCCCCAGCTTCGCCAACCTCTCCAATATCTCTCCATGCATAATCCCCTGCACAAAACACTCCCCGACCAACTCAAACTTCTCCTCCCCAACAGGCCTCAGCAAATACGGCACATTACCTCCATCCAGCAACACAATGAAATCTCCCTCCTTCGACCGCCAAGGACATAGTCCAAACAACCCCGAAGTCGTTACAAAGAAACAAGGCTCCATACATGCCGGAAGCTTATTCGTCTTGTAGTGCTCCAACTCTTTACCGGCGCTTGGCTTCAGCACTTCGAGTGGTTCCCGCGAACCGTAGTTCCAGTGAGAGCGCATGTGATCTAGATATTTCATGTTGCATGTCTCGTTGCTTTCCGTTCTGAAACCATCTACAGTCAGGTTTCTGGACCAGAATGGTGATAGAGCACAGGGATCGAAGATTTTATCAAAGACTTGGGATAGTTCGCTTTGCTCTTCGACAGGCTTTTGGTAAGGATATATGTACTCGATGGGTGCGTGGCTGATACTCCTGATCTCAGTGATGTGCAGACCGGAAAGTTTAAGAACGAGAGGATCGTCTGTCTTGAGGAGTCCAAGATTCGGCTTCGTATCGCCTGCTGCTTTGAATTTGAAGCGGGCGTTCAAATTGGCTTGAATCCGTCTTGAGCTTCCTTTGCTGTCAACGGACCAAGTTGGTCGGTCCGTCACTGGATTTTGGGCTTCGGGGCCCATGATCTTTACCCATGTACGTGATGGTTGACAATGAATAGACGATAAAATAGCCACCGAGTTATGTTCCCGTATCCACCAGCGGGTAAAGTCAGCAAACACTCTCTCCTTGGACTTGTCGTAGTTGGGTCGAATCAAATCATCCAATTTCGTAGTATCATGCGTCTCATTCGCAAAAGTGAGTAAAGCAAACAATTTATCCCGAGGATCAGTTGCCTTGAGATCCAGACCGGAAAGAAAGACTTCTAAGATACTAGACAACTCATTTGTATCCTGTGCTTCGATTGGAGTAGTCGGGATCTCCGTAGTTCTGCCTTTGGGTTTCAAAGTCTTCCAAATAGCAGCCATGGAAATCTGCTGTGAGACAATATGGGGGTTTTGGCTGGAATATCCAGGGTTCTCAAGCCAGTTGCTGACTTGTACTACTTCTTCCCACGGGACTTGCTCTCCTGAACAGTGGATGAAGGGTTGTTTTGCTGATAGAGCTTCTTGGATAACCCAGACTCGGGTGAACCATGGGTTTTCGTAGAGAGTGCTCATGAGGAACGATAGCTGCGTGTTTCCATACCAGCCAGCAAGATCGATGATCTCTCTTGTCCAGTTTTTCAAGTGAATATCGAAGACTTCCAACATCCCCTTGAATGAGATGGCTTTTCTCTCATCCTTTTTGCTCTGCTCATAAGCTAGAATCTCTTCAAGAGGAGTTGAGTGGGCTGTTCCAACGCAAAAACATTGCTCACCACCTTGGCATTGTCTGGAGTTTGAGTTGCAGATATCTCGGATAAGCTTCAAGCAAGCCTCGACGCCGTGGTTATCCTCTCCCAACCAGATGTGAACGACTGAGGCTAATGAATATATCTGACTCATGAGCGTGACCTGCTGGGCTCTCTCTTCGAGATCATCTTGGTTAATGCACACGGCGTCGATCCATATAACCAGAATTTCACTCTCTAGTCTCAATCGCCGAAGTGCTTGAGCAGCAGATTTTCCAATACTAAAAGGCAGCGCTTCCGTTCCATTATCAAAGTCACCCTCTTTGGATAAGAAAATATCCTCTCGCTCAGTCGGGTCTCCCCAGCAATACGACAAGGCGTGGAAATCAATCCCTTTTGCCTCGACTTCCTTCAAGCTTGCCAAGCGAAAAGAACATTTGATCGGATCGTCAAAAGTTCCTGTATCAACATGAAGGAGTCGAATATCCTGTCTTTCGACACTCAGCGTCCCAGAATAATGCGACGTATTTGAGGTAAGTTGCAGAGCCTGAAGTTCTTCTTCCAACTCCTTAGGTTCGTATTCAATCTTGATGCTTCCCTCGTCGATGACGTTCACCCAAGCCATGTACATAGCTCGAGGAATCAACTGAATCACATCGCCTGGTCGAAGTGCCTCAATCCATAGTCTTCGTCTAGGTCCGTGGAAAACAGTCCACCTGTCAGACCAGTTCTGGGGTTCATCATTTGCCAGGCGGTTGTTGAGTACAGTGATTGTTCGTAGATCTCCGCGGCCTTCTGGGCGTTTTACTGAAGCGTCCCACCATGTGTACGATACAGCTTCTGATCTGTCCGCCCAACCTGTATGAATTGTTAGGTACCTCTGACGAGCTAAAAAGCCGGTTTACTGACCTTGATCGCGAGAGGTTCCTGCGAAAGTCACAGCGTGAACCCTCTTCGCATCTTGAGGCACTTCCAACTCAACATAGGGACGCTCAGGACAGTGATCATGGACCTGAATCGCATCCTTGCGCTCAACAAAACATGTTTTCATTTCGGATGCCATTTTGCGTCAGAATGATATGAGTGGATATGATAGATCTCGCCAAGCTTCATGAATGAGCTTGAGTTATTAAAGTAGATATCGAACGGAGGGAACCAAAATGTAAGCATCACCCCTGCTCAAGTGTTGTTAAACACCCAGTAGGAGATGCGGATGTTGTGCAAGGCCTGACAGGGCTGAGTGCATGGGCGCAGCACAGAGATCCTGGGGGCTAAGCAGCGGGTTCCAAATTTAGAATTACGATAGCAAGGAATTACAAGAGAAATATAGAGGCATCAAGTATGTAAGAATTAAAGGAAGTTGCCAGATTAATAAAAAGAATTTGGTGAGTAGATAGCGAAGCACTGAAATTGAAATGCACATCGTATCCACTATCAATCTTTATATCCCATCCCGAAATCCCCTCGCTAATCTCATGACCCATGAAACCCTTGTAGATCCTTCATCCAAGCCACAAAAATGTAGTCAATACGTCAACATAAGCTTGCCTAGGTACCTAAGTAGGGACTCTCCTCCAAAAGTCACCACCCAAATCCCGCCCATTGCCACGGCACACAGGCCACAACATCAGGCATCTCAGCCTTCTTCCTCGCCTCCTCAACTGCACTCACAAAAGCCCTCGAATTCTCCAACTCCCTACACATCACCCCACTCCCCGTCTCAATCAGACTCTGCCCATCCCTCACATACCACGCAACATGCATCGTATCCGATCTCTCCAGCAGAAACTTGAGCTGCTCATCTACCTTTGCTCTCGCCAGCGTCGCTCCATAGGCGTCGTTGTGCTGTAGGAGAATGCTCATTGATGAATTGTACCGAAAGATGTCTTCTGGAAACGCCGTGATCTTGGTGGCTATCTGCGCGGTTATCTTGGGAGGTACGTTTGGATGCCGGGCTAGATAGCTGATTGTATCTCGCCGGATGCATACGTCGTCGTCGTTGAGAAACTCTGCGAGAGCGTAAAGAGTTCTTGTGTCGGGGAGGAATCTCTTTTTCTCACGAGTAAGCATCTCGATCATGCGTTCCCTTCCTTTGGGTTCTCTGTGTGTTAGCGTCTCGCAACATACTGCCACGGCTTCGTGAAGTCTTCCGGGAATATCTGGGTGATGGATCCAATATGTAAGAGCATTGAGTCGTATGAGATGATCCTTATCATGTAGAGCTTTTTCAATGGTTCGCAGAACCTTCTCCGGACATCCAACAGTTCTGTAAACGGTTTCAAACACCAAGTCTCTTTTAGTTCCATCTTTGAAATCCAGATGGGACTCTATAGCCGAGTAAAGTCGCTCATTCAGATCCAGTCGGTGACTTTCCAACGTCTTCATCGCTTGTCGACGTATGGGCTCGTAATCGTCCACCAGACGTTCAACAATTGCTCGTAACACAGTCTCGGGAAGTTTCGATTGACCATCGAACAATAATAGCGCCCCCCTCCGGATCTTCTGATATTCAGATCCCAGATACGGGATGACCTTGTTGAGTGCCGCTTCAGGGAACGGAGGCATAACATCTGAGAACCCTCCAGGAATAAATAGGGGCTTTTGGCACCCCTTGGGCGTAGTAGTCTCATCGTTGAAAAGGCCTATCATAAGCTCCATCACCCTCTCTGATAGGAACTCCTGACATCGCAAGATCCTTTCCGCAACCAGTCGTATTTCTGAATCAATGTCGAAAGTCCCGACCCTCAAAAACTTGACAAGCGAGCATAGCGTATCATCCATGCGGGATAGTTCGCTCCGCCCTTCGAGTGCTTTGACGGCAGCAAGCTGGACAGCACGAATTGGGTTATTCAGATGATCAGAAATGGCTCTTAGATCCTCAATCTCAAGATCTGTCGGCTGAGCTAATGCATCCAGAGAAGCCAGTCTGATGACTACATCATCTCGCAAAAGGTTCGTAAGGATCTTGTTGACAGCCTTTCTTGGTAGTTGCTGGTCCTGGTATCCAAGTGCCAAAGTTGCAATAGCAGTATTCTCTGGGTCTCCGTATTCCATGAGCTTCAAGCCAGTCTGTACAAGATCCACATCATCCCTTGGTTTCTCACCACCTTCATCCTCTGTCGCCTTCAAAGCCAGGTACTTTTCCCAGTAGGACTCAGCTGTCAGGATGTCAATGGCCCTTTCTCTTGCGAGGCGTGTCTCTTCTGGTCTGCACAGAAACTTTGCCATACGATCAAGAGTCAACTGGGGAAGGTTCTTCTGCCCGCTCAACCTTACCATGGTCCGCCATCTTAGGCTAGCGTCATCGGAGTCAAGAATGGTAGATATAGCTTCGATATAAGTCGCTATAGTCTCTGGATATTCGTCCAGAGCAGAAAAGATACCAGATGCAACCCATGGACTTCGATTCTCAAGACTCAGCCTTAGTGCAAGGTTTACACTTTCTGTCAAGTATTCTGGCGGACCAAGAGTTTTGATTATCATTGAAACATCATTCTCCAGCAGGGCTCCGCCATACTTTTGGGTCTTCTCAGACCCAGCCTTTCTCAGCCGACATGTCAAGACATTTTCGAATTCAAGTGGAACCCGAGATCCTGACCGCATCCTCTTCTTGTAAGCCATCAAAGCCGCTCTGAAGGTGACGGGATCCTCATTCTGCAACATCATCAAAAGTGCCTTGCTGGGGAACTCGGTCTCACCAGCTAGTGAACCCTCTTGGAGCTTCCTCCTCTTAGCTTGGAAAGTAGACCATCTCACTAAATGAGCCTCAAGGTGGCTTCTATGACTTTCGAGCCTTTCCGATGACGCAGAAGGACGCAGTTCCGCGAGACAATGCATTGTCAATCTCTGATGGGCTACGCCTATCAAATCGAGTGGCTTGGCGTCAATGGCCTGGAGAAACTGCAACGCCAGTTCATCGGAGCCGTTCCTCCCTGAATGCAATAGTCCCGTGACAAAGCGCCACATGATGTTGTAGCGAGATGAGTATTTGTTTTGGGAAAGGAAGTCCTTCGGTTTTGTAGCTGTGTGGGATGAGGTTCTCGCATACCATTTCGCATCTGGGTTGAAGTCTATGCAGACAAGATCTGCCTTGTCATGCTGCAACCAGATGCGCACAAAGTATCGGGCGGCGAAGTATTCTTGCAGAGTCAGGTGCAGAAAGTGATAAGTACGACTCGGCTTTCCGACTGACGAGTCTGATGTTCGTAGAAAGGAAAGCTTTGGTAAGATGTTATCGACAAAGGTAGAGTGTGTGCTGGTGTATCGGCAGATAATATTGACGTGCTTGTCTTGGAACTCGACAATGTTGTTACACAGCCCAGTAAACGCAAGTTGTTCGATAAAGCGTGTTTCATCTTCGATCAGCTCTTCAATGTCCATGGCAAAACTGTCGTCTTTCTCAGTCAAACTGTCCCTAATCTTTGGCTTTCCCAATCGCACAACATCTTTTCTCCATAGACCTTTTTCAATTGACTGGTAGAGGTCCGTCATGGTCTCAGGGCCCTGGTTGTGGACTTGATCCCAGCCATAGCAAAGGGCATCGAGCTGAATGGGGATGCGGACGAGGTCTTGGATGAGCGGGCGAGACGAGAGGAAGGTCTGAATCTCTTTGTGTCTTTCGGGCTCCATGTGCTTAACGTATTCGTGAACTTGATCTGTCCCGAAGCCGATCATCTCTAGTTCCAGGTCAAACGTCTTTATGCCCGATCGAATCGGAACAGAGGGGCGAGACAGCGCGAGTACATTTGGTTGATTGAGAAGGCATATGACGAATCTTGCGAGATCATCGCCGGGCCGTAACAAATGCCAGACCTCATCCAGCCCGTCGAGCAGAAACAATGTCTTCCCGCCTGGGTCAGTACACGCATCTCGCAACGCTCCAGCAAGGTCGCTACATTGTGGATGCTGCGAGAAGAATTCATCACAAAAGAGTTCCTTGAGGTTGTGTCCTCCATCTCGCGATAGCAGGTTGCGTAGTCGAACCCAAAGAATGCGATCAAAGTGCTGCCTCCAGACTTGATTCTGCACAAAGTCGTGCACAGCTTTCTTGCAGAACGTCGTCTTGCCTACGCCTGCTTGACCGCGAATGAGGATTCTCGTCGAGTGTTTTGATGCCGCGCCGTGAGCACGCGCGGCATTGAATATGTCGTGAAAACTGACTCTGACACCGCCATCTGGGCCATGGACATTCAACCGCCGAAACAAGGACAGATTTGTGATTTTGTTGCTGGGTGCAAGATTTGAAAGTCGAGAAGTCTGGTTCCTGGCGTGAGGTATAACCATGAGATTGATGTAGCATTGTTCAAGCGGTAGTCGCTCGCCTGACAGACGCTCTATTTCGAGATTCTCTTTGCTGTAGCAATGCTGAAGAAGCCAGTCATCGGCCGCTTTGAGATAAGCAAGGTTGTCCTTCAATCCGGGAGTTGTGAGTCTCTGGGTCTCTGGCGATTCTTCCGATGATTCAACAGATTGACCAGACTCTTTCACGGAAGGATTAACCATTTTTGGGTGCATGTCGATCAGCCTGGCTCATAAGAGAGCAACCAAGGTAAGGTAGGTAGGTAACTGCTAGCAGGGCCACGGCTTCAAGTGTGCTCCTGAAAGGTACTCTATTTGACTCGCGAAATATGCTTAGGTATAAAAGAAGGGACTGCCAAGTTTCCAATCAACAAAATCAACACTCTAGAGTCGTAGATTCAATGACCTTGGTTGCAACAAGACGAATGCGCAAATGGGAAGATAACAAGGGATTGCTGCCTCCAAGATCCCTGCTAGCTTGGGCTTCCCTCCTCAATCTAATCAGCCTTGATGCGGCGCAGCGGCTAACGCGGAGCCATTTTCAACCCAGAGTGAAACACTACGATAGCTGCGATAGGCCAGATGGCCTTGATATCCGCGCTAGAGATACTCAGCCGCACTAGGTTGACTACAGGAGACTGATTAAAACATCTTTAAGACTAAAATTGGGCCATTGGCATTATTCCTAAGATTTAGTGTCTGCTAAAATACCTAAAGCTGTAGGTATTGTATGTCACTATCATAGATATGCAAAAGAGGTCGTGAAATTAATAAGAAGAGTTGTTTATTGCTAAAATAATTGCTTTCTTCACTTGCGCTTCGCAACTACAGCAGACCGAAACTCTTGCTATCATCTTTTCTGATAGTGGTGCAATTAGTCATTGGACTCAAGGTGATCGGGATAAGTAGTTAGCGTGTTACTACTATTCTGCACGTATGTGATGAGCGCAGTACCCGAACCGCCGCCGACAGAGACTGAGGCTGGATTGACAAAGGCCGTCAGCTGTGTATAGCCATTGGGCGTGGGAGCGGCCGTCAGCGTCTTGACAGTGAAATCGTCGCCCGGCCCGCGAAGGGTTGCGCGCATAAGCGGTGAGCCGTCAGTTGTGCCGCTAGATCCTACGGGGTCGAACCAGTAGACGACGAGTCGCTTGTCGATGAAGAGTGCGGCAATCGGGGTGTTCATCAGCGCTTTCTTCCCGCCGTTGACTTGTTTCTCTGATCGCACGTCGTGTTCAGTCAAGTTTCCTCACAACATGTGCTGAAGGACTTACGAATGTTGCCATCGGCAGATGTCAAGTGCAGTGCTCCATCGCTGTCCTGGACGACAGCGAAAGCCTGGGGGGTCGTATTTGGCAGAGTACCGTATGCAGCGCCCAGATAGCTCGCTGCATTAAAGATAAGAGAGAGCGAAACTTGTGAGGGGGATGGGACCACGCCTGGTAGCTCGAGGCTGTAGAGACGGACGTTCCCGTTTCCTTTATCTCTGCTCGACTGTCAGTGACGAGGCGTCAAGGCTAGGAGAAGATGATGATGACATGACATACCCTAGGAAGAACAGCACGCCATTGTTGTTTAGGTCACTGCATGCGGCGATGCTGAAGGCGCTGGCGAGCGGAGGGGAGCCGACATTGAGTAGAAGGAAGCCAGGGCTGAGTCTGCAAACAAGTGAACCACCTTGCTTTGCAGCCAAGACACCATAAACGTTGAGCTACAACGAAAGCAGTTGTTAGTATCGTATTTCCCATGACTGAAGATCTTCCAAGTTCATGCTTCTCACCGTGCCGTGGTGTACGGCGGCAGTCAGTGCCGACGTGGCCAGGATGTTACCAGACGGGACATCCGCCGGCCCAAAGTTGAGTTCAAGGTCGTGAGGCTTATGCTCGATGGCCGAACCGCCATCACCGAAACCAACATAGGCATTCGTCAGAGCCAGAAGCTGTGCTGTCGTGCTGTCGTTGTACCATATGAGAAAGTTATTGGCTCCCGCGGGATTGGCGAGCGATGCGATAGCTGCCACTGGCGTATCAGTAGGTTCACTCATGGTAATGATCAAGTAGTTGTAGGGGACTAAGAAATACGAAAAGATTGAAATTTTCTTCTTGTTGAAACTGGGAGTTGGATCTGTGCGTGTAGCTTCGCCTTGTAACAACCGGTAGTACCCAGGCTCCCTTTAATATTCCTAGACAATGCGACCAGGCCAGCTGAGGGTACAATTATCACCTCGAGTAGATACCTGATCATGTCAAATGGTCCACTCAAGCCGGTGAGTCCAGACTGGACCTCCGATTCACTGATAGGCCAGTAAAGATTTCGATTCAAAAGGGTAACTCGTATGTACGTATGCATCAAGTGAACTGTTACTCATGAATTAGGGTGCATGCATGCGTGGCTCTCCACAGAGGGTGTACCGTACTGACCTCTTCCGTTTATGGTGGCACATACATCCGACGGGGCAGCTAAGCCATCACATCCGACGGCAGGCCAAGTAAGACCTGCATATACCGTATTCATCGTTTGTATCTCCATCAAATTTCCTAGCATCACACGCGGAAGCGCCGAGTGGCTTTCCTTGTGACCACATTAGTGCGAGTGCAGGGCGGCATATGCGGATGAAGCTGCAGGGTTAGCACAAGACCATAACTAGGAATAGGATGTTAACTTGTCTAGTTTACGAGAACTCCGGGCAGGAATTGCAACAAGAGAGACATTGTTGAGCACAGAAAAACCAATTTGGCGAGATTTGGCTACACGACACCGATATCGGATTTGCTGAGACACTGTACTGTATGTACACAGATAGAGCTTGAGGACTATTCAAGATGGGTTCTCTACGTTCAACATTTCACATACTTCATCATCGTGAGTTAAGACTGATGCCACCTCATATAGACATATCAAGCCAGCAGATTCAAAAATTCCAACATTTTCAACTTTTGAAACACATTATGCGCATAGTCCAGACCAAGATTCACATACTGCCTTAGCTTTCCCGTAAGCGTCTCTGTTATATAGTGTTTTACGTCAATTCCATTCGACAATATCTGAGTTATTCACATAAGGCGAGGCAAACAGCCCTTTCTAGATATTGTAATAAGACAAAGTATAATTAGGGAGATTTCCCATGACTCAAGAAAAGTAGGCATGGCCAATATGTATTTATCTCGCTCAATTAGACGCGTTCTGAATCTTGATGGCGTAATAATCTGTCTGCTCTACTGGCGTCCTCCCATTATAAGACGGTGTGATTTTGAGCGGAAATGTCTGTGATGGGGACGACGGCGCAATATCACACACGGGTAGAATGAATGTCAGGTCGTTGTACATTCCCTGTTCCGCCCACCCGCGCGTGCTGCGGGCCTGAACGCTGAGTGCCAGGTAAGTGTAGGGATCACTGTCTGAGGGCGGCTGGATCTGTGCCTGCACAAAGAACCGTACATTGCTGGTCATGAACGGTCCTGGCCCAGTGTACGTAGGTCCAGCGAGAAGGCAGTATTTTTCGTCCCCGGGCTTGACCGCGAGCTGCAAAAGAATGACTAGCTGCTCAAGGTGGAAGCCGTCAGTGCCCGGGTCTGTCATTGCCACCCTGAAGACAAGATCCTGAGGGATACTGGTGCCAGCGGGAATGCCGTCTTTTGTAGGGTCATTGTCGACTGGGCGGACCATGTACTTAAATGTGGGTGGGACGACGGGACCACCACCAAGGCTGCCGCCTTCGGGCGACTCACTGTCGCTGTTGTGTATAGAGCGAGAAATAGGGAATGGTCTGTCGAGGTTCGCAACGACACGCTGGTAATGGGGAGGCGTGTATCTTGGATATCCATGGCCCATTCCAAGCTCGAATCCCGAGCCGACACGAACGCTAGGGGGTGGTCGTTTTGTGACCGTTGTGGCTCTGGAGATGGAAGACTCCTTTGTTGGGAGAGGGAGAATTGATGGGGATACGGTGGTTTCTACCTCCTTTGCTGCAATCTGTGCTTTCATAACCGGCGGGAGACTTGCCACCACGGTTCTTTCGAAACTCTGCCCCTTGCCTTTATCAGGCTGGGGTGTTGAGATGGTGAGCCGATATATTGGATTGTTAAGCTGAATCCCAGCCATGGCCGAATTTGGATAAAGATCTTTGTAGATGCCCCCGTCTTCACCATAATAATTAAGAATATTGTTAACGTCCGCGGCCCATGGCACAAGAAGCAATGTGCGAACCTCAGGATCAGGATCGAGACCCCACTTAAAGACAAATTTCGGTGAAGGGGGTGGCGGAGGGGGAGTAGCATCATTGTTAGCCTCACGAAACCATTCAACGGCCTTCCAAGGGAGAGGATTTGGTGCAAGATTGGACGCAGTGTAGATACGCTTATATGAAGTCTTGATGTGCTGAGAGTCTAACTCCGCGCCAGCAATGAAGGACTGTTGATGAGGAGGCTGCGTGAAGGTGACTGACGCCAGACCCGGATTGCCCGGTGCATGGTCGAGAAGACAGAGCATGATACCTCTGACTGTATCGAGGTTCTCGTGCCGTATAATAGGACTCATCTGCTGTGTTACGCCTGCCAACTCCACTGATACCTTGAGGTCTGGATACTGAGTGACGGCACAAGAGTGCAACAAGAAGCCGTAGACGGGAAACTGGGGAGGGGGCGCAACCACTTCCTCTTGATCTGAGGGCGGTGGAAATAGGAAGTCCTCTATCATTTTGTGAATGACGACGCGAACATTGTCCGGGCCGCTTAGATGGTTGCCCAGACTTAGGGCACCATCCACCAGAGCGTCTGTCCAGTTGCGATCAACGTGAAAAAAGCGCAGCGATTCCGAGGGGAGGTGAGACGGGTCCGTGGTGAGGTACTGTGCTGGAACGCTGTAGAGGTACATCTTGTCCAGCACCCACTTGATGACAATCATCCAGTTAGCTGAACTTGCCGAGTTCAACTCGTCGTAGCGCTGTGTGCCATCACCATCACAGCTAAGGGTCAGGTTCATGCCGACTTGGAGTGCATGCTCATGAAAGAGATCTTGGACCTCGGGGCTGTAGTAGGATAAACTGGACATTGGCTGTCGCGGCCGCTGCCATCGATCTGCCATACTGCCGCCTTGGCGGTGGAGGCCGTTTGTATTCTTGTGCAGGGTATTGAGCCGCCGTAGTGTTTCTGAGAGGTCGTCGGCAATATCTGACCGAGTCATATACATGCCACGTTCCCGCAGAATGGCTGTTCTGGCACGCTCCAAACCACCACTGTAAATGTCTGTTCGGAGCCTACCGAGAGCGGTTGTGAAATGCGGATCGGCCACTGCCAGTGCCTTTCCCAGCTGCCATGCTACAGAGTAAGTGATGTCCATTATGCCAACTGCAGGATCCATGATCTGCAGGTCGATTCCCGAGTCTGAGAGCCAGCAACTCCTTAGCTTTGGTTTCGGGGGCAACACAGGATAAGGAACTAATGTTGGCGTAAATGGGCTCCGATAGAGAGCTGCGGTCTCCTCGCCCAGAGCGGTACGATACTTGGTCAATGTATAGCCATCTTCAAGCCTCGACTTCATTCTAGCGCCCACTGGTGTTGAGGCATCAATGCTGCTCAGCGTAGTCTCCGGAACTCGTAGTAGGTTAAGGCCTGCGGGAGTAGTGCCGAGGTTGACAAATGTTGTCTCCATATCGAATGACCCCTCGGGCAGGGTGATGAAATTCCAGCTGTAAAGCGAGGCCAAGGCGACGAACTTGGTGTCGTTGGCAATCGGCCACTGTCTCTTCATGTAATCTGATTCCACTCCCTCGATAGAAACCAGGTGTGCGACAACCGGTCGAGGCTGCGTATTGGATAGAGGACCAGTTCGATGCGAGACGACAATTCCGAATACGCCATTATCTTCCACTCCGGCGTCGGCCATTCCCAGTGTGTTGATGTCTCTCACGTGGGCCAAATACTTGTAGCGAGCAACGTCGGGGCCGGACTGGTCAGGTACCTGGAGACCATCCGCGTGGTACGAAGTAAAGAGTTCAGTGAATAGTGCGGAGGGCACCATGACGATATCCGCGTTGGAGTCATCCAAGGGATCGGGCGTAACTCCAGAGATGGGTGAGATGGTTGAATGAATGTTTTGCACGTCGGCAACGGGAATGTTGACAGTCAAGGTTTGGGTTTGCTGTGCGCTGCCTTCAAGGCTCGTACTAGAGAAAACAGTGCTGAGCTGTGCGGCAGAAAGCGTGAGCTCGTTCTGTGTGAAGACGAGCATCGCCAGCCAAGGAACTTTACTACGAGTGTACTCTGGGTCCTCCAGTGCGGGACTGTCGGAAGCACCTCTCGCCCAGGCAAGATGAGGATCGGAGAGCACAACATGAGGGAGTGTTTTGGCCAGGGCTCCATAGCCTTGAGGAGGGAAGGATGAATGAACGGCGCCATCGGGAAGACTGTATCGAGGCGCGACGACGTCGAAGAGCTGTGGCGCGCCAGTCTCTGGAATCTCGAATGGCTCATCAATCGTGGAAGGGGACTTTAGAGTCTGTTTGACGCCGACAGAGTATTCACCAGCCTCGAGAGACGGAGAATAAAAGGAGAAGAGCTGCTGTTGTCCGGGGCTCAGTGGTGGTGGCACATCTGTCATCTCCCCTCGAGCTCTGACGAGACGCTCATTCTTTACTCGTCGAGCATTACGCCGAGCGAGGTTCCGTGGACCGTATATTCCACAGGGGTAACGCGTGTACGGACGAGCCATCGATGTTTCCTAACCGACTATCTGGATTCAAAAGCTTCTGGGCAACCCTGGAGGGACAGATTGACTGCTGGTTATTCGCTCTCCCAACGTCGCCTGGACCTCTCTCTGGGTGAGATGGACTGAAACGATGGTTATCAAGAGAGGGTCAGAGGACTCTTCTTCCCTCTCACGCTCCAAGCCGTTGACTACTCACTGGCTCCGGCCGACTGCCATAACTCTTCCGGGCAATGAAATCCTACTCCTTCGATTTCCAACAAGGTCAACATACGCGAGGGGAGAGAGAAACAGCGAGGCTACTGCAGGCTGGTCCATTTTCGATACGATCACCTGTTCATCGCTCGTTAGAGGCGAACCATAGTCAAAAGTCTAGATCGCTCTGCCCGCATCTGCTAAGACATACATACAGAGGAATGAGACAGACACTCTAGACAATAGACAGCTCACAGGGCGTTGAATGTAATTGCTGTATGTTTCAGCTGTAGCTGGAGGCGGTATGGTCTCAGTTATAGTGGATCAGATAATGAGGCCCTCCACATGCGACTACATATGCACTTGTCGTAATCGATAATTCCCTAGCCTTATTGGAGCTCGTCCTAGACCCGGTATCGGACTTTTGCTGCACATACGCCGTAGTCGTCTTGCTGCTTCTCAATGAAGAAGATTGCAGCTGTATTGCTCGGCCAGTGTCCGTACGCAAAGAAGTCTGTCGCTTAGCGATTCTATGTATGATTTTGTGGATCCGGATCCAGTATTGATTGGCTGTTGATCAGTTTGATTTGTATACTTCGTTCAAGGTAATTTGTTGAGTGGGAGTAAAGGTAGTAATCTAAGGCGCAGTGTTTGAAATGCTTACAATCAGCTATAATTAATACCTGAGATAGTCGTATCTTGAATCAAGATTTTGATTAAATATTAACTAAGAAAATACACTCCAGGTCCTGAATAGTCCTCAGAAAAATACTGCGCCTATCTCATATCTGAACTGTTCAACCACCAAAATGTCAAATCGATCAGCATCACCGGTTCCATCCACCTCACCGAGCCAGGAATGTGATGAGCCACGGGTCCTTGCGGTTCCTGTCAAGCTAGATGCGTTCATATTCAACGCAGATGTTTGTGGTGGAAGCGGAACCCTCCCGGATGAAGACGAGAACAAAGACTCGGCCAAAATCGCGCCCTTCAAGCAGCCAAACTACACCTTCTTGCGCTTTGAACGATCGAAAGTGCAGAATGACACTCTTGAGTTCACTGACCTGCACAAGACCGGCCCAGCAGCTTTCAACACCCGCTTCACCGACCTGGGCACTAAGAAGCCTTATCCTGACCGACAAGGCGTTTACCTCCACTGGATTGTGCCTCGAGGATATCGAATTGGCTCGACCGTCGCCAACGACTTCACTGCGCAGCAGCACGCCAGGGCGCGTGAGGGTTTCGTCTCGGTTACTCCCGATCCAGAAAAACCGGCAAAGACCCAAGGGAAAGGCTCCGCTGAGGATGATTCTGTAGATCAAGGAGACACCAAAGCCTCGGACTTCCGCCCTGCCCCCTCGCGCTGGATGATTATTCGCAAGGTTGAGTCCTGCGATCCACCAAATGCTTTGCCTGATATGGACGCCTGGGTGGTCGAGAGCAACCGCTGCACTACCCTGGATGAGATCCCCACAGATAAAGATATCCAGGTTGAGTACGCTCCTTATGTCTCGGCTGGTAAAGCTGCAGCCGATATGGATATGGATGCCATAAACATGCAAGCCGAGGTCTTTATCGGGTACAAAGAGAGTGCTAGTTCCTGGATGGAGTGCGAGGTTCCCAATCCATTACCTACTGACCCTCAACGTGTCGATCTCAACCTCGTGAACTCGTCCAATCCGCTTTTTGCTGATTACCAGCCGCACAACGGCAACGTTTTCAGCATTATTGACACTCTCAAATACAAAGGAGATGATGATTCAGAGCCTATTGCGGTCAACCAGGCTACTGTCAGCTATTGTGTCTTTGGTTGGCATGGTCTCCAAGGCGAGGACCCATTTGGAACCTTGGACCCCAATTCGAAGCCTTCTGTAACTCGGGGTCAGCGCCTTGCTGCGTTGAAGATGAAGTTGGATCAGACAGATATATCAACTGCGCAAGGAATCACTGACTGGACCCAGTCTCTTGACGCAGCTCAGCTGATCTGCCATGGAGTCATGTACAATGTCAAATGGCAGGCTGCGGGGAAGCCCAAATACATGCCAGCGGATGGCTTCTTTGAAAAGGTACAAGCTGATGTACCAGTAGCTGTTGGAACCACGCCGATGGATTCGTTGCTCACCTACATCAGGAGCCATACCAAGTCTCCCTCGGTTGACGCTGAGGACAATATCCAGAAGGTGATGCAGGATCTACTGTCGATCGAGAAACTGCTGCATGCTCAAGACGATGGTGCCGATGCTCAAGCAGAGGCAGACGACATAGTCTACAATTGGAACTATGCCAACTCCAGTGGCGGCCTTCATTACTTCCTGACACAAGGGCCTAAATACAATGATGGAAAGCCGACACAGCCCAGCAGTGATAATATCAAAGCCCTCAATGATATCAACAGCGCCCAAGACTACCTCAACAGCCTGGATAGACAGGTTACGGCACTCCGCTGGAATATGTTTGCGTACTGGTGGGACTATTTGTCCAGTATCACTGAGCCGGATCCCATCAAGACAGGAGGTGCAGTGGCAGATATGACGACTGCGTTTACCAAGCTTGTCACAATGAGGAACAATACGGCTACAAAGGTTCGAGAGCTTGTCAGAAAGCTTCCAGAAGGTCTCGCGAAGCAGGGGGCACTCCCACCATTCTCTGAGGCCCGTGATCCTACACTGTTGGTGGCTGGTGTCGAGTCGGGCTGGCCTTGGGATTTCCTGCATGACTTGGATGCTCGACTCGACACACAAATAGCGGCCCCTTCATCTTCTATACCACCAGTCAAGCCTAGTTGGGAGGCGTTTCTTAAAACCACCCTGTCCAAGTTGCCCCAAGGTTTAACGGATGCCGGCAACAATCTCGTGGATGAGTTTCTTGCACTGAACCCGGGAAATCCAAACCAGCCAGCTCCTGGCGGGGGCTACAAACTTCCACTTTATCATGATCTGGACAAGACTCACATATTACCAAATGGTAAGATCCCATGGAGAGACCGCTGGGAAAATCGTCAGGCATGGTTCCCTCTTTTTCTAGAGTGGATAGCCGAGTATAACCATGTCCCTTTCACACCTTTCACCCCCGTTGATGATAAATGTCAAACAATTCCTGCTTGCTGGAGTCTGGAGCCACAAGAAAGTTGGCCGTCTCGTACTCAAGCCCAAAAGCTACGGTACGGGATCAAGACAGGTATTGAGCTTGCAGATGAATGTCTACATGACAAGCGAACGGTATCTGGCCGGGTCTTGATTCTCCCGCAGGCGTCACAGAATCTTCAGACCCTCGTGGAGAGCATACTAGACAATTTGCCCGATGGATATTTGGAACCAGATCAAGTCGAGGAGCTCAAGGACCACTTGCATGAACTAGCCTTCTTGTCTTCACCTCTGTCCGGTTTCACGAACCATCTTATTACGCGAGCCCAGGGAAATCACATCAAGCCGACGCTTCGATCAGCAGCTGATTCAGCTTCGAATGCGACTGACGATACACTGCCATTTAAAGCCGCAATTGAGGTCGGATCAAAGGCAAACTTCAAAGATTCACAGCTGCGAATCATGGGTGTCGAAACAGACATGACCCCTTATGGGACTTTGGTTCAGGTTGGATCGTTGAACAACGAGTATTGCCCATTCAAGCCCGTCACACATGGGCAGTTTAGATTCACCACTCTAAACATCATCGATAAATTTGGCCAGGCAATTCCGATCATTGACCAGACACCGAGGCCCATCAACGAAGGGTCACCGCCATTGTATCCCTGCATCAGCGAGTATTACACTCCACAGGTCTCCAACAAGGATCCGAATAAAGCAAACACGATACAGTACGATAAAGAGAAAACATGTCAGTACATACAGTTACCACCATCGATCAACCAGCCCGCGAGACTGAACTTCGCCTTTGTTGACTATGTGGACGAGGACAAGGCCGCTGGCACTGTTGCAGGATGGCGGCCACTTCAGGAATGGGACACAAACTTCATCTGGGGGTGGGTTTTGCCAAACTACGCGGATAGCGGCATTCAGCTATTCCTCTCTGACGGCACCTTTTTCCGCGAGATTCGCCTCGGCGGCCCATATGGTGCAACTTCGAGCGGGACACCGCTACCTTTCCCTGCACCGCCTGTTTCGACTGATCCAGACTTGATGCAGTTGGAGCTCCTTGCAGAAAGGTTGATGGACGCCGACTATCTGCACTCATTCGTGGCTATGCTGGACCAGGCATTGGGAACTATCGCTCCGCCACCTAATGCATACTCAGAGTTTCTCTCGTCCATTGTCGGCCGACCCCTGGCTTTGGTCAAAGCAGCGTACTCCCTCGAACTCGCCTCGCAGCCATACACGAATCAAAGCACCCTTGTCAACCCTCCCATTCCTCCTAGTCAAGAGCTACAGACGTATGAGTTTGGCATTCACCTTGGCGACGCATCACGCATCTATGACGGCCTCATTGCCTACTTTCTCCCTCAACAGACACCAACTGCAGGCAACAGCATTGATCTGAACACCATCTACACACACTTTGTGCCTACCCAACCACAGTTCCCTGTCCCAAATCTCACCCAAATTAGCCCCGAAAACTATCCAATCGTTAAACCTTTCTGGCAGAACCCCATGGGTGCCTCAGTTGTTGGCCCTCCTGGGCAGCCCAAGACAAGTCCACAAGACTCCTACGCAACACAATGGAACTCACATCTTGTCCCCGTTGGTGCTCTTGTGGATCCATTTGTGCCTTTCCACGCATACAGCGGTATCCTACCTACAGCGGCAGCACAGCTTCCCGCCTGGACCTGGCAAACGGCGCTCAAGCGCATGACAGCCTTCTTTCATATGGGCCCACTACTTTCGACGAGTGACGTACCAGATTTCGACAGCCAGCGCGCCCTCACACCGACGTACAACTTGACAGATGATGAAAAGATGGTGCCAGGAGCAGGACTGGGCACGCCAGCTATGCAGACCGGGGAGTGGGCTTGGCTACAGCCGTACAACGTCTCAACAAAGGATAAGAAAGGCCCAGAGGAGAGCGGAAACGATGAGGATGAGAAAGTGACACAGTTCATGGCGCTAAGTCTGGAAGCAGTTGATACAAGGCCAAGGCTAGAGCCATCGCCGTACACTGCTGTTGAAGGTTACATGCAACTTCGCATGCCGATTCAGCAGGGAGCCAAGCCATCGAAACCTATTTGACGAATAAGCGAGGAGTGGGAGTGTGTCTAGCCTAGACAGAGGAGATGCATCGAGGAAGCGGTAAGAGTCTAGTAGTCTCGAGTGAACTTGAGACATAGATATAATATTTACCACTCCACTTGTCTAGATTCCTTCTCAGACATGCATGTCATGTGCCATGGTTTAGGCGGGGCGCTCTAGTACTCCATGAATGTTTGAAATCTCTATTCGGCCTGTTGCATACCATGACTCCACTATGACAAGAATGCAGCATACATACATTTTAGCTGGTCTCATACTCTGCGACCTGCATGTGTCCAGAACTGACGCTCCGACTTCAGGAGTGATCCACCAACGCTGGAATGGAGCCCGGCTTCGTGCGAAGCTTGCATAGCTATGACCCGTGGCAAGTTGGTTGAGACTTGCATCGCAACTTGTCCTTGATTTGACGTCCGGCGATAGTCAACAACTCTTGCTCCTACCAATCAAATCTCAGACGAAAGAGGAAGCTATTGAGGAACTCATCCAGTCCGCTGTATAGGACCAAAACTAAAGATCTTCCACGACTGTCCCCGTAATCAATTCACTGGAGATAGCCCTCTCAAGATCAAATCAAAATGCCTACCTATCGTGTGGATACCTTCCAGATCGCACTTGGTGTAGTGGGTGATTCGGCAATTCACCTGCTCATTAAAGAGCCGTCCGAAGTGGTATGGGCGATGTTGGTGGATGGCGGCGATAGTGGCGGAGAAGAAAAGATACGGGATACGATGGCCTGGATTGAGCAATCGACAAAGTACAACATATACCAAAAGACCCAGCCCAGGCTCCAGTTTGATGCCGTTGTCATCACTCATTGGGACAAAGACCACTGGACTGGCGTGCTGAACTTGATGAAGCAGGCTTATGAAAAGCAGCCTCTAGAGCGGAAGCTTCCATTTTTCAAGTACGACGAGGAGACTATGGGGGATGCCAGTCCTTTGACAATTATCTACTGCCCTGAAGAAGGATTCCTGAGCAAGAGTACACTCAGGTTTGATCCAAAGCCCCCTAACGCGAACCCTGTCGATGTGAATTTCCGATTTGGCAAAAACGAAATACTGCGGGCTTGCCGGCTGAGAATGGAGCCCAAGAAGGTTCCTACTCAAGGCCCTGTTAGCACTCTCCTTGGTACGAATCTGATAACAGGAAAGGACATAGAGCCTATATCCAACGTACAGAACATCAACAGCCCACGTGCCTTGCTGTTGGCCAACCCCCCTGACCAAAGACAACCGGGAATCTACATCATCGGTGTTTCCACGAGGGTGTTTGGACCGTTACCACCCAACAATCTGGCTGAGGAATCGAGAGGGCCAATCTTACTGGATAAGGGAGTAGGCTTCGTGGATGAGAACAAGCCAGGAACACCAACAAACAAGAGCTCGATTGCTTGTATGATTATGTGGGACACGGCACCGTCTCCTCGGCTCTCTCATTACTTTGCAGGCGATATGCACTGGCAAGAAGAGAAGTCGCTTGTGGAATGGACAAAAGCTTCTGGTGACCGCAACAGGATAGGCAAATACGTTTCGTCTTTGAAACTCAGTCATCATGGCGCGAAAAGCTCAACTCCTACGATGATGCTGGAGAAGTTCAATCCACATAATTTGATTGCAAGTGTGGGTGAGAGGAATGGGCACCCCAGTAAGTCAGGTCATTCGTAGGCCTTAAATCTAGTACTCTACTGACGATGTATTTATCCTTAGGCTGGGAGTTTCTGTTCTACGTTCAAGGCTGGATGGCCGCTGAGGGACCCCAGAAAGCAGCATATCCCCCTGTCCTTACAACCCAGTTCCCATACTACCTGGCGAGATGGCGGGATCCAAACAATAATTCGAACGAAGACTGGATTCCGCTCCCAGGGGGAAGCTCCAACCAAATGTCAATGAGGATCCTGGACGGTTCAGACAAGAGTGCGTCTGCCAATGGTTACAGAGCTGCTGTTGTAGCCATCTTCGACCGAGCCGGTACAGCGGTGATAGACCGAACAGGGCTTGTTTTGTCAGATCCTTTTGCCGACTGGGACACTGCAAAAGCAAATGACCAGACCCTCGACGCGAAGGCCTGGGCCCGTACTCGGATCGCAGACTCCTGGTCCAGACTCTCTCCAGTGCAAGCAGATATGCATCCGGGCGTAGGGGTGATTCGCAGCAATGACAATTTCAAGCTCACACGACGGCAAAACATGATGCTATTCTACATCATCGAATCTGTGAATGACAGCAAAAGAGACGGTGGCGTTCTCATGGTCCACGGGGGATTAGCCAACCAGCCTAAACGGCTCAGACCCGATCCGAACCTCGTTCCGCCAACTGCACCCATTACAGTCAATCTTTCGTTCCCGAAATCACCTGCTCTCGGCGTCCAAACGAATATATCGTTTTTCAACGTGCCTGCTAAGCCAAATAGACATCGCAAGGCCATCGACAGTGAGGGAATGTCAGAGTTCGGTCGGCTCTACAAAAGGAAAAAGAGCCCCAAGGATCTTGAGGCACCAGGTATGAGCGCACCTGTCTACAGTCCAGCAAGTGGGACAAATCCCAATGAGAACGACGATCTGCTTGACTTTGCCGCAACAGCACGTAATTTATCTGATAACATCGGTGGTGACACTGATAGCATGGAGTTTGATGGCGGTAGCCCACCAGTCATTGGACCCCTACCAGTTCCAGGTATACCTGGCCCACCTCCTGGCAAGGGGTTAAAGGATCTTGAAGCTCCCTTCTTTTTCATATGCTCGAGCGATTTGAAGTACAACGGTCCACCCCCTAATACAGTCAAACAGCTCACCTCGGCCCATCCCCTCAACGAGTTCGTCTCTACATTTCACCTGAAAGGGATTATTCTTGCTCGGCAGCCAGATCCAAGCCAGACCGACCAAGTCTCTTTGCATGACCAGGACCAATTCTTGGGATGGCTCAGGACTGCTTTAGTTCCACCTGGACAGCAAACCCTATCAATTCCACATGCTCTAGACGGCTCACCGAATATAGGATTCACTGCTTTCACGAATCCACAAATTGCCGATTACTTCACTGATTTTGCACTTACTATTCCCATGCTTGGCGGGTCTATGAATTACTCCTCACAGGCCACAGCAGCCCAACTCAACCTTCCCACCACGCTGTTTGGTCCAGGAAGCACTGTGCCGTGGGAGAACTCACTGATATTGGGGCTCGAAAGTCCAGAGTCTTATCAGAATCTGACTCTTGCAATGATCCTAAAACCGGCTACAGATCGAGGGGCGACATTAGGGCTTCTCAATATCCTTAAATTACTTCTCGGGGACGACACATTCCACGTTGACACTAGCACAACTGCTGCTACACGCAACGCCATCTGGTTCGAGCCAATGAGTGCGTACAACACCGTAGTTCGTACTCAATACGCAGCAGATGCTGGACTACTGGCAGCCCTCAACAGCTGGATCAAGCTCACTGATTTCAGCATCGATACATTCACCTTGATCACAAAGCTTAGAAGCTCGTGGATTCCGACAAGTGAGGCGCTTGCTGCGCTCAACAGGTGGGAGGTCTTGATTCACTCGACCTGTACGATCCGTGATCCTAATGGCGATACCATCGCCAGCCCAATGGTTTTGTTCGATTTTCAATCCCAGAGCTTGACGATAACACTCCAGTTTGACACGCCGCCAGACATGGACGGTATTCTCAAATGGGTTCTCCTGCAGGTGTCGGATGCTCATTTTGATTTCCAGCATTGGTTCTCTCAAGCTACGACAAAGAACTTTAGCACTCCCGTCTTTCGACGTCTGGTGTTAGTTGTTGACCTAGATGAACAGGGAGGCTTCCCAACGCGCCTGGACGGTCTTTCAATAGATCTGGAAGTTGGCGTTCTTTTTGGCAAGACAGAGGGTCAAGAAGAAGATGTGGTGTTTCTTTTTACTTATGATTGGAGTCAACAGAACGGGAGCAGTCTTCAAGGGACGCTATGGTGCCGTAAGTTCATTCACCTTGGTACAAACCTAGGGCAATTTCTGCCACGATATTTGGACTATACTGACTGTTCTGTACGTTTTATAGCCCCGCCAGATGATCCTATTGTGGACCGTAGACTGCTACCGGGCTACGAACCATGTAAGCAATTCGAACCAGCAACAGTTACACCAACTGCTCCATGGGCTGGATCATTGGACCTTGCAAATTTGATCCCAAATGGATCCGACAATGCAAAGATTATCAACATTCCTGACGGGATTCCATCTGAGGTGATTATGGTGGAGCTTGCAATCGATAAAGATGGAATCTCCTTTCAAGCAAAGCTGGAGTGCAAGGAGCCCGTTCAGAACAATTCAGGCGGCTTCCCTACTATCTTCCTTAGTAGAATCTCCCTCAACGCCAGCTACGCTTTTACCAAACAGTTCTCGGTAGGCTTCGGGTTCGGTATCACCATGTTTCCCCAAGAGGGTTCAACAGTTCTGCCAATCGAACTCACTGGGGCGGTCAACTACAACAGCGGCTCCTGGTCTGCTTCTGCCGCTGTGGAGACCCCGAGTATGCAAGGTGCTCACCTGTTGAGCTACTTTGACAGTGACACCAAGGATGACGCCGCTGCCTTGATACAGCATATTCAGCTGCTTTACCTCTCCTTAGACTATCAGTACTCCAATGGGGTCGGAAGTTCTTTTCAGTTCACCGGAAGCATGGGAATTGGTGAACTTGAGCTTGACCTCAACTTTAACTATACTTCAGGTCAGCCTTGGACATTCACAGCAACGGTGGATACCTTTCCTGGGTCGACTTCCACTCTACAGCACATATTGGACAGTATCGTGGGAGATGCAACGGTCAATCTGCCTTCTTGCGTTGCCGATATCAAAGTTGGAGATACCTCTGGCGTTGCTGAACCATTGTTCAAGCTGACACTCCAGGGTCTCAAGACGAACAGTGGCACAAAAGACGGCAAGGGCGTTATTTCGAAGCTTGAAGTCAACATTGGAGTTGTCTCGTTTACATTCCTCCAATACAGGAATAGCTCGTGGGATATCAATAACAACGCTTCCAAGCGGGTTCTGCGCCTCGAGGTCCACAACCTACCAGATTTCGACATACCAGTTTTGGGAACCATACCACTCTCCGAAACGATTGAGGAAATCTGTTTTATGTGGGTTCAAGACGGCAGCAATACCAATGTTGAAGGTCAAAAACCAGGCCTGACCAAAAAGGAGATAGAGACTCTCAATGAGGAGGCATTTACCACTGCACCACTTTACTACAAGGCAACAAGGGAGAAATACGCAGATACAGACGTCCTAATCGAGGCTGGATGTCACTTTGTCATTGTCACCAAAGACGCCAAAGGATCAATAAATGTCGTGATGGATTATGTGTTTCTTAAGCCTTCCTCGGACGATCACGTTCCACCACCCTCAGCTGCACTTTTCTTGCACGCAGCAGCTAAAAGACGATATGGATCCAGCGCAATCATCCACAGCAAGATAAAAGGCGAGGTTGACGCACTTGCCGATGCCAACGCGGGATCCGGCACCCAAAAGACCTCATTCAAAGTGTCCCTCGGCCCACTGGACATCTCAAACGTGGGCATCAGGTTTAGCAACTCAGTCTTTTCCCTCTGCTTTGATGCATCCATCGCCGTTGGGCCTACTGCAATGGCGTTACAAGGCTTCAGCATTGATTTTGACTTTGGCAACGGACATGATCTTCAGCACAACTTCCCCGTTCCAGGGTTTTCTCTGCAGGGCTTTATCATTTCCTTCGACCGACCTCCATTGGCCGTCGGCGGAGGTCTGATCAGGGTACCTACAGCTAACAAAGGCGATACATACTGGGCCGGCGGTGTAGATATAGAGTTCAGGGCATGGTCCTTCCTGGCTGCCGGCGCATATGGCAGCCTTACGGTTGACGGAGAGACGTTCACCACAACATTTGTCTTTGCGCAGTTACAAGGTCCGCTTATCAACATGTCCTACGCTTCAATCAATGATCTCACTGGCGGATTCGGGTACAACAACAACCTCACGCTCCCAGCTATAGCTGATGTGCCCGCCTTTCCCTTCCTAGCCTTGCCTAAGCCTCCAAAGCCCAGTCCTACTGGAAATTCCACCATGGACATGTTGACAGCATTGCTCAAAGGACAGTGGTTTTCGCCGCGCAACGGCTCGTTCTGGATCGCAGCTGGATTTACAGTGACCGCTTTACAGATGCTTCAAGTGACAGCGGTGGCAACGATACAATGTGATCCAGAGGTCAAGGCAGGCATATATGCAGTAGCCATTGCTGATATACCGTCCACAAAGGCCAAATTCAAACTTGCACATATTGAACTAGGCATTGCAGCCACGGTAGACCTTGCCAAAGGTATCGCTGCATTCGAGGCACAACTCGCACCGTCGTCTTTCATCTTAGATCCAGCATGTCATCTCACGGGTGGTTTCGCATTGTATTACTGGTTCACTGGCACTTCTGGTCAACAGGCTGGCAAACCCGGCGACTGGGTTTTCACATTGGGCGGCTACCACGCAGCTTACAAGCCCCCGTCTCAGTATCCAAATCCGCCTCGTTTACAAATCCAATGGTCTCTCGGTCCATTGTCTATCACCGGGCAAGCCTACTTCGCTATCACTCCCGTTGCGTGTATGGCGGGCGGGTGTCTGCACGCATCGCTCAACATTGGCGTCCTGAGCGCTTGGCTCGACGCGTACGCTGATTTCATCATCAATTACTCGCCCTTCAGCTTCAAGGCGGCCGGTGGCCTCAGCGTTGGTGTACGCTACACATTGGATCTGCTTTTTGTGACGCTGCATATCAACATTGAGATCAGCGCGATGCTGACTCTTATGGGTCCACCGTTCCATGGCTCTATCTACGTCGATTTCTGGGTGTTCGGCTTCACGGTCAATTTTGGAACCCAGGAGCCTCCGGTAATCGCGAAGGCTACGTTGGAAGAGTTCTATTACCTGGCGCTTCAAAAAGACAGCCCGACGGCACAGACAACACCTCCTACGCCACATAAGTTCAACTGTTTGTCGGGACTCATTCCATCCCCGCCGCCAGACGAAGCTAAGAAAGCTCGCTGGCGAAAGAGGTTGGGAACTCTTGGGGCCTATGGCAAAGCAAGGCTTCGTGAAGAAGACGAGGATGAAATACACAGCCAAGAAAAGGCTGTGGGAGACAGTGAAGGTGATGATGACTCCGACGAACTGCCTCCGGTTTGGGAAGTGCATGCCGGCACATTCACCTTCAGTATTTCATCCGTCTTCGCAGTTAGCGATGTAACTCTCAACGCTACGGATGCGGATCCAGTTGATTTTTCTGCGCCCCAACCTCAAACGACTGACATTTACTCAAGGCCGATGTACCTCACTACGACAGATAAGCCTCTTAAGTCAGAGTTGGTCGTTACAATTGCAGCTACGACACCTAAGACGCAACTTCAACTTCAAGATGGACCAAACCCTTGGGTAATACGTCCTCTGATAGACCAGATGCCTCGTGCTTTGTGGGATTCCTGTATATATCCTCTTTCTCTACTCATTTCTTCGAGGCTAATATTTCGCAGATGACCCTAATACAGATCCAAACAACGGCTCAAAAGCGCTCCTCAACAACCCAGGCAATCCGACCGTTCCACTGATGATGAGTGTTCTTCTCATCCCACCGGAGCCTCGCCTCAGCAAAGACCTCATCCAATCATTTGACGCGGTTGCATCGCTCCCACAGGACGTCCTTGCCAATCCACCCGACTTCCCGCCTTATGCTGACACGGCCAATACAGCGTGGTTGCCTATCCCACCCACGGAGCCACCATTACCGGATCCAGCTCTTCCGTGGGAGAATGTTAAAGCGGCGTGGGAGACCCCAGAGCTGGGCGTTGGTGCGGCGTCGGTCATGTCAACGGCATGGAACGAATGTATGGGCTGGGGTGTTCAGCCTCCATCACTTGCAAGCACTAGATGTAGCAAAGCGAAGACACAAAGCAGCCCTCTGGTGTCGGGCGCGGTACCGAAACGATTAGTGGCCGAGTTGGAAGCATTGTATGTTGCAGCTCCAATGATGGGAGTGGCGCAGACTGTTTGATCTACCCCCTTTTCCCAACGCCGACATCACTGTCTTGCAACCTAGCGAGAACGCTGTAGACACAACAGATTCTTCCGATCTTAGAAGCTCCTGTGGCACTGTAATCTATTTTTCCTAAAGTATTCATTTTATTTAGACTTGAGGCTTTTATTGGTTCTGCTTATAGGACCTATAGATATTGAAATGTTATAAAGTTAAAATCCTATATTCTCAACCTTTCTTTTAACCCTTCGTTTTCAAACCCTATAGCTGTCACAGCACTAGGCTTTCTCTGCCGGAATAAGCTCTCAGCCTTAAGTCCCAATTGCAAATAATGGTGGTGTCGCTTTCAACAACCATGACAACCAAGGTTAATAAGCAGGCAGCAAAGGATATCAATATTAACTCGTAGTCAATTTCCTACTGAATATCCTGCTCGAACCTATCGGCTTACTATATACCTAGGACTTTTATTTACCAGAGCCGCGATTTATACAACACCCTTTCCCTCAGTTATATGTGATCACCACTACATCATCATCAAACGAAACATGTCTTGCACCAATGCCGCTTACCCTCCCTCGTCGTTCCCTTTCCTCACGCTCTCTCTTGTCTTTGCAAACGCAACATTCAGCTGGGATCTTTATTTCATTCAGTTGAAGACCGACGCTGCAACATCCCATTTTGTGGGGCTCGACTTCATCACAGTTGCTATAGGAGAGTTCCTTATCCCACTTAAGGCCGCATCTGCACTCTTTGAATTTACTATTTTTAAAACACATCTCCTACTTGGTTTCTCAGAAATTGGGTCAGTAAGGAATTTGGGAACGGTACTTTATACTCTGCTCGGGGTTCTAGTATGATATATTGAGTTGGAGAGTAGAAGAAGCAACTTTACTTCGTCTCTTTCTCCTCTTTATACATGGATTATTGGACACCTTGTAACTGGGCGTGATTGCGGGCTGCAGTGATTACATGTAATCATGAGGGTGGAAAGGCCAAGGCCTTATCAGAGTACCTTTGAGGCCCAACTGCGGAAACATCACTGAATGGCCTTTGTCACTCTTAGGAGGCCCATACCTGTATCACCAACAGGGAACAATCAGACACGATCATGCAGCAGCTTGCTTCAAGAGCTGCGACAGCCTTTCCTTGTTCATGATTCACAGAGTGCAAGCTGAGTAGCTTCTCATCCTCTGCCTAGTATCACCGCCGAATCGATTCGATCAGCGGTTCATAATGCCAAACGTAAATCCCTTTAGGAAGTCGAATCATGTTGTATCCACACCCTCAAACAACATTCCAAGACTCCTCACTATTCACAGTCCCATCATCCGTAGCCACACTCGCCCCATCACCCTCCTTCTCCTTCTCCTCCTTATCATCATCCTTCTTCTCATTCTCAACCTCCGGCTCATCCTCAGGCCACGCTTCAAGCCATCGCCTCCTTCTCTCAGCCTCGACCTCTCGCACGCGCTTGTTGTGACATTCACTGCACTCGATCGGCTCGGTGACGTCGCGGTAGCTCATCCCGTTACGGCAGAGGCCGAGCTTGTAGATGGAGACTTTGTCGCAGTTGATGTTGCGGATGATTTCGGTCTTATCCTGCTGGCAGGCGGTGCAGCGGCGAATTGTTCGGACTTGCTCGCACATTTTGGAGGTCTTGGGGTGTGTTTGGCTAGTGAGGATCTGTTTGGGGTCAGATTCTGGGTGTGAAGACAGAGATATTGGATGGAAGGGATAGATACTTACTGATATAGTTCTCGAGAGTCTCTCAAGATGCGATGCTGCTTGTGGATGATTTGCAGCTTGCTTTTGGCAAGTCCGAGAATCAGGGAGTTTCTTGTTCGAGGTGGAACAGTAAAATAAACTGGAAAGAGAGAGGGCTGCTCATTCACAACTATAGGTACTTTGAATATGGCGCAATAGGCAGCAAACGGTGAAAGCCATATGCTTGAAGAAAATTTCACTCGCTCTTATTATCACTGCCACGCATTGTTCAGTGCATTAACCGCTAGCCATCACCGTTTGGAATCTCAAGTCACTTGGCATCAACTCATTCTACAGCTTAAATGGTAATATGATTTATTTAACTATTCGAGGCATGAGTATACCATTCCAAGGACCACCGTCTCAGCGGCGGCCTCTTTTCTCCTCCTCCTTCTCTATACATTTGTCGCATTTCTCTCCACCGTGTCGTTGGGTGGTTCTTCTGACACCCTTGCATGTTTTATTGGGGTCTGCTGCCTCCTCGCATTGATCAAAGTCATACCAGTCGTTGACATAGCCGCCGCACTCATCGCAATACATCGTATTTGTTGTTGCTAGACACATCTTTTTCTCTAAGTACTATTTTGTATGGATTTAGTTATGGGGTTGACTGTAGTTTATAAGGTTAATTACCTGGGTGTAGGAGTCCAAGTTCGGCGTACTATCTTGGGAACTATTTATATTACTCTTAACGTGGTATATCAGGTGGATATTTCTCAGATATCTTCCTAATCACGGACTGGAAAATACGGAGTTGCCACAAGCGCTCTTTTCAACGGTGTAACAAAGCATCTTTGGGTCAGAGACTCACTCTCGCCGTTATTTGAAGTTGAAACCCGGTGTCAAGAACTTTCAGTCACCTCACAGAAGATCAGAGTCCATCAGGGAATCGGCGTTAACGTTTCAAGCGATTCATTCAGTTACTGTTTTTAAAGGGTCTCCTCGGCCATGATAAGGCGTCCCCATTGCCCCGTGACCAGCTGCGAGGGTAACAGAACAACCAAACCCAGCATCTTACTTATCACCCCCTACGATTTCTCCTGCGCCTGGCCTCCTCACATCTCCAACACAAAGACTGAATAAGATTCTCCACGTGATAGGCTCTTGGGCATCGTCGCCCAGGGACCAGGTAACTACAATCAGTAACAATGGCTCGTCCGGGTGTCTGCCTACCGCAATCCATGCAAACCCATACTGGATGTTCGAAAGTGCACATTTGGTTCAAGTTCTAGTAAGTTTTGGAAGTCAGGTGGTTGGTTGACGAATGATTACACTAGTGGTCGTTGTGAGAGGTAGAGCAAGATCTTGATGCTTGGGAATCTGACTCGGCTCCAACCTCAGGGGGATGGACCAGTACTTATAGTTATTTCTAATGACTGGAAGTCTGAATCTCTGTATTACATATTGATCCATTATGATCATTCTTCAGTATATTTATACGCCATTGTAAGGAATCACATCAAATCCTCTTAAGCTGGCCTAAACGCTCGTGTATAACAGATGAAATTGGAGGTCTCTATATCACCAGCTCCTATCTAACTGCATCTCAGTTCTCACTGCATGTCACTCACCATCACTTCCCCATCTTACCCAGCGCATGAAGGGCCGCCATACGCTCCTGTTCTTCCCGAAGCTCCTTGCACTTCTGGCACTCATCCTCGACTCTCTGGGACAACTGCCTAATACCATTCTCACAGGTTCCTTTCTCCTCATACTCGGCGCACCTGTCAAGTTTAAATCCTGTACGTAGTAGATCGTCGCAGCCTTTGCAGCGTTGCTCAATTGTAGTCTTCCAGCACATCTTTTGATTTGAGGTATGTTTGAGTTTTGACGTTATGGTCGAGGGAGAGATAGTCCACGGAGAAACTTCCATTATTTTATAGTTGCCCACTCAAATAGCTGACGACCTCCTCATTCGGGATACTTCACTTCTATTCAGGCTTAGGTTGACATGTGTTCACCCAGCTACTCCTTGTCTCTACTTCACTGACTTTAGCAATATCTTGGCAATCCCCCTATTTTCCGTTTCATCGGTCTTCAGTTTAGTGAAAGTGTTCTTCACTACTCCAATGACGCTGATCGTAGACAAAAAAGATTTGTGATTCGCTCGACAGTCGGAAGCCTGAGGAGTCGCTGTGCGGGTTACTGATTCACTTTTCTCTTTGCCAAGACGGGGCCCAAATAGCAAGAAGTAAATGACGATAGCGTCTGCGACAGACCAAGTTCCAGCGCCATTGATCAACTTGGAGCTCTCATCATCAGTTACGGCGACTTGATTCACCACTCCCATCTAGAAAGAAGAAGGAGAGTCTTGATTCAGATGGGCCACATAATCAAGTGTAAGGCATAGCCAAGAGAGCCATGGCCATCTTTCAAATCTTTGACATCGCTTAGCCTTCTAGGCAGTATCTAGCATCCCGGTTGCCATCCTCAAAGAATCAACCTCGATCTTTGGAGAACGCTATTACTTCAATCTGGTCGAGGAGATTCTACAGACCGAAGTTCTATCTAATCTAGAGTAAGACTTGAGAACTACGGACCAGACGATGAGGTCTGGACCACTAATACCTTAGTGAAAGCTACAAGCTCTCTAGACTCGTCGAACTGAGAGTTCCCTTCCATATATACTCTTCTATGACTAATATCGCATATTCAGTCAGTCTACAGTCTATCTTCACTGCGAATCCAGCCAGAGGAGGGAAAACTCTCAACATCTCGCTATTTTCTGTGTCTCCGTCATTTCTTCCACAATTCTTCTTGAAATTCTTTCAAGTGCTCACCACTTGTTCTCAGACATAAACTGTGCTATTGGGCTCTATTATACGTGGCTCCAGGACGAGACCTCGCTCTGCAAACTTATCACGAGCGCTGCTACTGTTTCTGAGCTTATACTTTACTTGCTGCATGTGATTTCATTCTCACACGTAAACCTTCGGCGTTTTACCAATTAAATTCCCTTTTTGAAGCAGATATATATGCAGCAAGGTAATATCATTCCATCTTTACTTATGATATACTGGACCTCTTCTATATTCCCCGACCTTCCAGCATACCTACAGTTCTCCTTTTATTCACCACCAAAAGAACCGATCCGTCAGCACATTTCCCATCCAATAGACCTATATATGTGTGGACAACATGTCTGCCAACTCATCAGTATCCATCATATTCTCTTCCTCCTTGCATGTCAGACACTTTACCTCAATAATCTCTAACAAACTCTGAACGCCGTTCGGGCAGAGTTCGTAGTT